AGACAGACAGACAGACAGACAGACAGACAGACAGACAGACAGACAGACAGACAGAGATAGAGACAGAGACAGAGAGAGAAGGAGAGGGGGGAGGAGGAATGACCCCAAATAATTATAAATAACGTCAACTGGAGTCAAACCACACAAAGGGGCAGACAGGCGTCTATCATTAACTGAAATGTCATTAAATTTGTACGACGACAAGTTCGCTCAGCCGATAGGCGCCTGCTGACGGGATACTTTCGCGCTCGAGAAGAAAACATTTTGCAACAAAACGTTCGGTGTTTAGACGGTTGAAACATACTAAAGAAGGGTGCCATTTCAAAAACGTACACTATGCCAAATCTAGATATTTCTGAAAAACCTCGTCCATTCCGTAATCTTATACGAAATGCCGTGAGAATAACTATTTTTTCTCTCTAAAAATACACTGTATTCCTCGATATTTAATATGATACAATTTCGTTTCTGTCGTACGTTTGTTTTCAGAGAATAAGGTGGGTTTTTCCCCCTAAAATTTTTTGAGAAAATAGGATACATTGCCGTTTTGTCATGGAAACCTATGCACATGCACGACAGTTTTTGATAGCAATGTCTTCCAAATAGTCCAGAAAATGTCAGTTGAAAAGCGCTAATAAAGGAGGGTTTGAACCAATTTTAAGGACGCTCAAACAACAGTCAGGTGTTTTGTCATAATAATACAATGTGACTGAAGAGCACACCCAGCATTGACATATGATTAGTTTTGTTTTTGTTTGTTGTTTTTTTGTGTTGTTGTTGTGTGTTTTTTTGCGATCTTTAGACCGGCGTTATAACTGTATTCAGACAGACAGACGTTTTAATATCACCCCCCCACCCCCCAACCACTCTCCCAACCTATCTCAACCAATGTAAACAATGTCGTAACACCAACTCTGATGTAAACAATGTCGTAACTCCAACCAACTGCCCTTTATCTTCTTCAATCGGCACTGTAAAAGGACACCGCACCCAGGTATCTAGATATTAACTGAATGAAAAAAACAAAAACAACAACAAATGGAAATGAAAAGAAAAGATAGACTCTATTTGACCTTGTTCCCACGATAAGGAATAAAAGAGTTGGACAGGGTAGAAGAAGGGCACGAAGGCAGCAAGGCAATGTTGTGTGTGCTTGAAAAGAGAACCATGGAAGGTCGGGGGCACAACGGGGGAAGAGACGGGAAGGGAGGAAGGAGGGAGGGGGTGGGAGATGATAAAGTGGTGGGAATCGAGGACACGCACGGTGGAAGTGGAAGGATAGCCCGCATGCAGCCAGCCGGCAGCTCCTGCCAACAACAAGGGGGAAAGATAATGGAGGGGAGGGGAGGAGGAGGAAGGAAGAGGAGGGAAGGAGAGCGCACGGTAGAGAAGGACACACCGACTGTGCACCACCACCTCCGCTGACGACCCGGGCCCTCGCACGCCCGCACGGAGTGATGTTTTGATAATCAGCTGTTCCCTGTTGCTGGTTCACGAAGGTCGCTAGTCACATGATATTTACATGCGGGATAGCTCGTGATTGGTTAAAAACGAGGCCTATCCTCTCCACTGATTGGTCGAGCTTCCAAACAGGCACGACCTACTTTGTCCCCGTCCGCACCCCACCCAAACCACTCTTTTCTATGTGGTAAAAGAAATCATTACAAAAGAAAACCGTGGCATTCCATCTAGGCCCACGGCTTTCAGTCACGATTCAGAGCGAAAAAGGCACAGGGCCGACAAGCATACTAGCAAACTGTCAAAAGTTCTTTGACAGAACAATCACAGCTGACCTGTGCAGTCATGCTGGGAATTTCACTTTTGTTGTGGTCATACGGGGAAACCCGCTCATAGACTCATAGAAGAGGAATAGAACTAATCAAAATATGTTATTGATCGAGTTATTTTCTAAACACTAGAAGAATATTGCTATTTTCAACAATAGGACGGCCGGCCTTTTTCAGGAGCAGTATCTGTAGCAACACGATGACCTTTTCTAAAGAACAAAAACCCAAACAAATAAACCTCACGTGGAAAATGCATAGGTTGCAAAATATGCACAGCACAGACACGCTAGGAGGTGATAATGAAACACAACGAGCTCACCAGATCAGAAAGAACCCTGAGTGATACATTTATCTTTTTTTCACCTCATTTGTTTCTTTTGTTGGTGAGAACAAATATGTTAGCTCCCGCTTATATAATGTATAAAAGGAAGAGCAAACCGACATAAGCTGGGGCATGTTCCCAAAACGTTTCACGCGTTTGATGGGGAAAACTTTTTTAATTTGCTTTTTCTTTCATCTTAAAAAATAAAAACGGCCTGCATTGTATAAGGGTCTCCAGATTAAAAGAAACCAGGATGAAGGACAGAAACAACAGTCACAGAAATGAAATAGAGCCCAATGGCTGTATCAACATATCTTTTATCTCTACGAATAGTCCTTCTTTTCATGAGCAGCTGACAACAGGCAGACTACCACTGCAATCACTGAGAGTGGTCGTGATTTTATTCCTTTAAGTGCTGAACAACAGCCATAGAAACATTGTGTCTATGTCCTTTTTCTAGACACAAAACAAAGTAGTACTAGTAAAATGAGATACAACGGTAACAATTTTTTTTTAATTTACGAAAAAAAAAAAAAAACCATCACAACAAACAACGAAAGCGAAACTGACCTCACAAATAAGCAGACGTCCAGAGCTGCCTGAGCTGTCATCATCTGAATGGGGTGGGTTGGGGAAACCTACACAAGCCGGGGCACTCTCACTGAGAGGAGCCAGAGGAGGAGAGTGGTCATCTCGTTCAGAGTGACCGCTGTAAAATCCACTACTGGCCACACTACTAGACAAGTGTGAATCTGGGTATGGCGTATGCGGGTCGCCTGAGACCTCTGGAAGGAGAAAAATGTTTCCAAATGTAATGCCCATAGGTATAAACATCAAAGAGAAAAAGTGGAAGAAAGTAAGAGGCCTATTATTGTCTTTTCCACAAAAATGCTGTACCAGCATCTATTGTACAAGGTTACGCTCTTCACCTCAAGCTAAGCTGAACAAAGGATGAAGATTTTGTATCCCACCCAAAAGGATCTTTAATCAAGTTTTCAGTCTTTCTAGTTATTTTGGCTCTAATAACCAGTGTTAAGCTGGGTCCTCGAGTATCTAAATTGTGTCAGTAGGGTCTTAAAACTCTAACAAAAGAATATTTATAATTAACAAAATTAAACTAAATGAACTCACATTCTAAAAAAACTCTAATTTAGAAAAAAGATTATATTAAACCAACCTACACAAAAAAAACAACTGTACAAATAAAATCCTTTGTAATAATCCCAATTAACTGCATTTAAAAAAATCAAATGTCTTGTTGACAAGATTCCATCAAAACTGACCCATTTCTATTTCCTTGACCTACTTTAGCATAATACCTAACAACGGATCAATTGTGCAAGCAAACATTCTCCTGCTGGTCACAGCAGGTAACATCCACCTTCCAATCTTTCAAGACACTTCCCTTATCAGTCTTCATTGTATGTCTACCTTATCTGCTTCTCTTTTCTGTGTGTCTTCTGTGAGTGTGTGTGTGTGTGTGTGTGCATCTTATCTAATCATCTCAGTTCATACAATGAAAAGACCATTACGCCATGACATTTCCTGTCGAATATTACAGCTGTCTGCAACATCTTAACTTTCACTACAGCATTGTCATATTATTACGCCCAATAAACTATCTGCCGTTTGTCCGGGGGGAGAAGGTGCCTGTCTTTCACAGTCAAACAGTCTGTTTGTCAATCAATCTTTCTTCTAGCGTCTAGATCTCTCTCCCAACTCCATAAAAATATTCACTCAATCTGTCTGTCCGACAGTCTGCCCTTCCACAAGACAATCAGTCTGTTTCTCCATGCTTCTCTAACAAGTTTTTCTTTCAGTGATAAACACATGTGTATAACACAAAAGATCTTGTCATCTTCAGACATTGCATTGAGAACAACTATTATTATTATTTTTATTATTGTCATCATTAACATAATTATCATTATCATACAGTCCAGAGATACCTCTAGTAATCTTTTTAGGTCACAAGACCAAATAGTGGGAGTCTAACTAAAGTCATCAAAATCAGATCAATAACAAGAAACAAAGAACTTGTTTGTCATGAGATCATGTGAGCTATCGTATCATGTGATCTCATTGATCGCCTTTGAATTAATATTTCTACAACTTGTTTTATATTAAACGTACTCTAAGGCATCGAATAAAAGGGAGGGGGGGGGGGACAAGTGGTCAAAATCGGGGGGGGGGGGGGGGGGAGGGGGCACATTCAACCTCACACCCCTGTGCTAGTAGGAACAAATCTGTTTTATTTCTCCTTCAGTGAATAAAAGAACAAGAGATCATAAAATTTTAGTGATTTTAGTAAGTTATTGTGACAGTTTTTCCCATTTTGGAACAAACCAGTTTCATTAAAAAATACAAACCAATGAGTACAAAAGTTTTTAAAATGCACAGAAAATTGAGGTAGCCAATCCGCTACCGGTACTAATACTAATGTGCCATTTACAATAAAGAGAAATTTCATTCAGATATCTAGATTCTAGATATATATAACGTTTCACATGATCATCGGTCGTGGAAAGATTGAAAATAATAAACGAGGGGTATGAGATAAGGCGTAGGGGCTGTACAAAAAAACTGAAAATTAATAAGCGGGGGGAGGGTGAGGACGTTTATATCGATACCTTAGAGTTCTTAATTTCGTTTTTGTTTTGAGACAGCTATATATGTCACCCACAACATTTTTTTTTACGTTTGGTAAAAAAGCAACACCTTTCGGGAACTTCTAAAAATAAAGAAATTAGAAAAAAACTTGCCAGAAACCACATCTCTTTTCTGATTTTCAAATCCCTCTTCTATAGCTACTCAGTTACATAAAAGTAGAAATATCATTTTTGTCTAACATTTCTCTATTTCAAAGAAGTACGAAAACATTTTCGTACACACTTACCTTTGTTAATAAATGATGTTGGCATCGTTGGCGATTTGGGACTGACCGATAAGGAAGTCAAGACCATAGCTGCAATGGTTTCATCCATCATTTCCACTTCATCGAAATCTCCGTATTCGCTGTCAGTTCTGTCCCCACTGGTGTGTCGTTGACGGCGGAAACGACTGCAAGTACAACGAGAAATTTTTCCAATCGTTCTTCTTGAGACTGGTCTTTACTTTACTTTAAAAATAAACAAAAGTCCAGAAATAATAAAACGTTCATTATATTACATTCCTAAACCAGCATCTATACTCATTTGAAGAAAGCTTCTGTGAACTTAAATTCCCATTGGGGGGGGGAAGAACAGACACCATCTATCAAGATTTTATACCTCTTCAAACCTTCAAACAACAAAGTGTAACCAAAAATGGTGAAAAATGTAAATCGGTATAGTTCTAAAAATATAATGGAAAAGCTCCATACAAAAAAGGTAAATAAGTGTGGTGTCATTTTAGATCTACAAACAGCCCATCGTGTTGACCATAACAGCATCACAGCAACGTCAAAACACCCAATCAGGCAACTATTGTGTAGGTCTAAAAAGACTCAAGTCTCCGAAGAACAAAACTTTTTCCAAAAAACTTTCCTGACTAATAGAAAATGTACACAATAGCTATTAACGTACAAACAGTGAAAATATATCTCTTTCAAATATACAAAAGCGTACAATAAACCAAAGCACGTCTCTGTAGCTTACAAATAAACAAATAATAGAACATAACACAATGTTTCAAAATTAAAAGATATGGCATTTTTAAAAATAACAGTAATAACAAAAGGGGCAAGGGATCTCTAAGGGACAGGTTACAGCTGTTAGAGGGATTCCAAAGGTCTCCAATACTGGAGACAGTATTATAAGGTGATATTTCAGGCAGGGAGAGAATTCAATGAAAAGATTGTCGAAGCATCCTATCCTCATGAACCTGAAAAATCAGTTCCTCCTCTCAAGCAAAACGAAAGGACAAAGAGAACCCAGATATATAAGAGGTACATACTCATTTTTGTCTTGTGATGTTGATGGCACATCAATGACGTGTGAAGGAACTCGACGCCTACCAAACTCTGTGAGCTGCAAGTCTGCTAATTTCGAGTAATCGGTATTTGGCTGGCTCTCCAAACGAGCAGATTTCCTACTCTCAAGAAGACGAACATCTTCCTGGCGACGGGCTGTGGTAAATTCTTCTCCATTGGGAGTCTTTACATTTACCAACACTTCGTCGAGATCACGGTCATGGCATGAAACTGTGCCACAAACTTCACGGCCATTCAGGGTTAGGAAGACCTTTTGTCCTCGATTCAAAGAGGCAGCAGTGACGGACTGGAACCCAGGACCTATCACATTTCGAGATTTCACATGCTGGGTACTCCCATCGTCAAATCTGACGGCATAGACGGCTCTGGACGTGATCGTCTCTTCCGACACCTGGGACTGTATAATCGCGGGGTAAAAACGGCCATCTTGCGACCACAAAGCGCTTACTCTGGTCCCAATAATCGACCTCTTCGCGAGTCTCTTGTTGCCAAACATCTTGAATGTTTGGGCATTCGAACAAGAATTCACCAATCCTTTAGAACAGTAGACAATTCAAACTAAAAAATATCCAGAGAATAATCAAACAGTTGCCAGCAAAAGCGAAATTGCTTGAGGACTTGCAATCAGCTGTAACCTAGTCGTCGATGTAAACAAAGTACCGGCGTCTACTGCGCCGGTTTGTTTTGGTGCTGACGTAGGCGGGGATATGCAACATCAACAGAGCTAGTGAGGGGTTTATTCAGGGTGTGATTGGCTCCCATAATCACACCCCCCTGTTTCATTGGCTGAAAAATAGGGCACTGTCAATCAAACTCCCGTGCCTTTTTGTGTCATGGAGCAAAGGTCAACTGGATGAATTATGAACCGGCTTTTTAGGCATATTTACCCAATTATTTTGGAAGTTATATGCTTGATCAAGTAGTCAATGTCACCCAAGTACAAGATTCTGTCCAAAACCTTGAAAAACAACAAAGTAAACACACAATAAGCCTTGGTTACCAACTTTTCGACCGTTTGCTGTGTCCTTTGTGTTTTCTTGAGCTATTTTCCGAGCTGACTTCATTTCACCATCCCATCAAAACACTTATTATGAAAATTAATATAGAAGCAAAATAACCACTATTTGATCGGATTTTTACTTGATAGCTTACGCACTAATGTATTCTATGTTTTAGTATAATATCACATTTGAAATGAATGTTGACTGTGCAAAAAAGAGATAAAACTACTTTTATCGGTGGGAGGGTATTGAATCTCTTAAGAGCATTATGATAATGAGGTCAGGGGGAAATAAAGGTGTGCACGAGTTGCCGCTGTGGAGTGGAGGCATACCATTTAAAAATAGCGTCCAGTGACACCGGAACGTGCAAGATTTGGCTTTTATAGTAACTTGACTATAAAGAGAATCTTGCTCATACAATAAAATTGCAACAACCGTGGATATTGCTTCGGTAATGCTTTTTTCTGTAGGAATAGATCTATATAGAACAAACAATATTCTATTCCTCCATCATTGTGATTCCTTATTAAATTTCCTCTTCCTTTGTACCGTTCATTTCAGCTCCTCATTTCATCATGCCGTAGCTACTGACTGCTTATGTCACTGTCAAAATTAGACAAGGATGTGGCCTGGAAATCTGGACTAACTTTACTTTCTGTACTACGTCATCTAAGGG